AGGGGTTGGGCGAACCCGTACTTGGGCGAACCCGTACTTGGGCGAGCCATCAAACGAGGTTGGGCGAGCCAGTACTAAGGGGTTGGGCGAGCCAGTTGGGCGAACCCGTACTTGGGCGAGCCATCAAACGAGGTTGGGCGAGCCAGTACTAAGGGGCCGTTGGGCGAGCCACTCAACTTTCACAGTGGCCTCCACGCCTGCTTCAAAGCTGCGCCTGCTTGGCGCTCCTACGGTGCCAGCTCGGCACTGTGCAGCTCGGCACATCTAGTGCCTGCTCGGCACGTGCCCGCTCGGCACATCTAGTGCTCGGCACTGTGCCAGCTCGGCACTGTGCCTGCTCGGCACGTTCGGTGCCTACCTACAAGTGCCCGCTCGGCACGTTTAATTAAGTGCCCGCTCGGCACTGTGCCAGCTCGGCACCGTGCCTGCTCGGCACATTTAGTTACTAGTGCCCGCTCGGCACTGTGCCAGCTCGGCACATTTAGTTACTAGTGCCCGCTCGGCACTGTGCCAGCTCGGCACATTTAGTTACTAGTGCCCGCTCGGCACCGCCCCGCCTCCCACCGCCAAGTTCTCCAGGATGAACCTACGTACGGCAGCCTGACAGGTAAAAAACAGGGGGAGGGGCACGGGGTTGAGCCACATGACATGCAAAACCGTGTAAAAAAAACCATGTCAAAATCATGTCATGCAAACATGCAAAACCGTGCAAAAAACCATGTCAAAATCATGTCATGCAAACATGCAAAACCCATGCAAACATGCAAAAACCATGCAAACATGCAAAAACCATGCAAACATGCAAAAACCATGCAACATGCAAAAACCATGCAAACATGCAAAAACCATGCAAACATGCAAAACCCATGCAAACATGCAAAAACCATGCAACATGCGGCGCGTACGCTGGCGTCTACACCGGGCAAGTGGCGCGGCAAGGCTTCTACGCAGGCAGGCGCGGCAACCCGCTGAACATCCACTCTCCCCGGGTTCCTTGCTATATGTGCTATATGTGCTATATCTCACAAGGCAAGCCACTGAACATCCACTCTCCCCGGGTTCCTTGCTATATGTGCTATATGTGCTATATCTCACAAGGCAGGCCACTGAACATCCACTCTCCCCCGGCTCCTTGCTATATGTGCTATATGTGCTATATCTCACAAGGCAAGCCACTGAACATCCACTCTCACCGGGTTCCATGCTATATGTACTATATGTGCTATATGGCCCTATATAGCACATATACCACAGATTTCGCGCGTACAGAACATATAGCACATATAGCACATATAGCAAGGACGCGGGGGAGAGTGGGGGTTCAGCGGCTTGGCGTGTAAGATATAGCACATATAGCACATATAGCAAGGACGCGGGGAAGAGTGGGGGTTCAGCGGCTTGGCGCGGCTTCAATGCCGGGCAGGCGCGGCCGGGGGCTTCTCGAGCAGGGTGGCGCGCAGGGCGCCCTGGGCCGGGGAATTTGAAGTGACAGGTTTTAGCTTTCACTTGACCTGCGAATTTGAAGGAGCTCACCGTTTGAGCTCCTTCAGCAAAGTTCACCAAGACCTCTCTGAAAAGGTGGTATGACAGACATACCACCCCCCTAATCACGCGGATTACCACCAGGGAATTTGAAGAGGAGGATAATACCCTCCACTTCAAATTCCCTGGTGCAGGCAGGCTGGAGGCTTCTATGCTGGCGCGGCCCGGGAGGCTATGCCGGGCAGGCGCGGCTCTGCCGGGCAGGTTCGCCGAAACTTTGGACAGTTGTCCCCCCACAGGACAACTGGAATTTTTTTTTCACAGTTGTCCCCCCACAGGACCACTGGAATTTTTTGTCACAGTTGTCGGCTTAGACGACAACCTTGACATGTTTTTCCTGGGAAGAATCCCGACCTTGGCGCGGGCTTGGCAGGCTGGAGGCTATGCCGGGCAGCTGGGGCCTCGCAGCCATTGGCAAAAAAAGCTGCAGGTCCTCCCTTCTGGGGAGGACTGGATTTTATTTTTTCCTGGTATGCCGGGCAGGCTGGGCTATGCCGGGCAGGTTCGCCGAAACTGTCGGCTTAGACGACAGTTTCGAAAAAATTTTTCCTGGGAAGAATCCCGACCTTGGCGCGGGCTATGCCGGGCAGGCGCGGCCGGGCTTCTATGCCGGGCAGGCGCGGCAGGGTGGCGCAGCGCCAAGCCGTATGACCGTATGATCCGTATGATCCGTATGACTCGGCGGGCTGGCGTGTCAGGGACGAACATGTTCATCCGACATGTACTCCGACATGTTGAAATTAAGCGCGTATAGCGGCTTGGCGCGGCAGAAATGGCACTTGTATTGGCACTTGTGTTGCTGAAATTAAGCATATAGCAAGGAATCCTGGTGGAATTTCAATGCAGGGTTTCTGCAGGGAATCCCTGCATTCCCCGTATCTCTCTCTTTAGAAGACTTTTCAGCAGTTTCTCAAACAGTGAGAATCTGCAAATTCTCAGGCGAACCTCTCTCTTTAGAGGGGGTTTTCCAAATGGCTTATATTCTACCTGAGAGGCTTCTAGCACTCGTCCGTCCAGCATTTGACCTCGTCCTGCGAAGGATTCGAAGTCTAAAACGCTGCGGTGCAGGCGTGTGGCTGCAAAATAGAGACCCCTAGATATGCGCTGCAATTTGGCTCCAGGTTGCATTTCAAGCGATGTCAAGCTTTGCCAAAGGAAACCCCTTTTCCCTTTTTTTCGGGGACCCCTTTTTTTGGACCCCTTGTTTTCTTTTTTTTTGTTTTTCTTAGCCCTGCAAAGGTTGGCTCGCTTGAAATGCAACCTGGAGCCAAATTGCAAGCATATCTAGGGGTCTCTATTTTGCAGCCACACGCCTGCACGCAGCGTTTTAGACTTCGAATCCTTCGCAGGACGAGGTCAACTGGACGGACGAGTGCTAGAAGCCTCTCAGGTAGAATATAAGCCATTTGGAAAACCCCCTCTAAAGAGAGAGCTCAGGGCCTTGCGCTTCTCGCGGAGCGTCTCGCAGCTCTCCTCCTGGCGCTCCTCGGCCACCGCGGGAGCGGAGCAGCGGGCTGTGGCGCTTGCGAAGCTTGAGCCAAAGCTCTTGGGAGCGCTTCAGCATGTCCCTCCAGTCCTGCATGTCGACCTCCTCCGCCGGGAACCTGCCGGCGACCCGTCAGCCAGCAGCCGCTCCAGCACAGGCGCTCCCCGAGGGAGTTTGTCATGCAGGCGGCTCACCTCCTCCAGAGGCTCCCCGCTTCAGCGCCTCGGCATCGACGGCCCTCAGCAGAGGCCTCAGCTGCTCGCGGCGCTCAAGGACATGGGTGGCCATTCTGATTTTTTTTGATGAGCAAAAAAGGCGCACGGGCTTGGGTGTGAGCTTCGCGTCGAAGACGCGCTCGGATGCGGCCGCCAGCTGCTCGACCAGATCGGTCTCGGCCCGCTCCCAGAAGAGCCTCACGCGCTCGTCGGTTGCGAAGCTCACGCTGGGGGCGCTGCCCGTGCCGCACGGTTACATTTGTCGGAGGCCGCTGCAGACGCCGCACGCTGCTCAGGGCCAGCGGGCGCTGCTGTGTGAAGAAGCCCCACTTTCCCGAGAAGCTGTTGCGCAGCAGGACGTATGAGCAGGCGGCCCGGCGCCCGGCGCGGCCTCTCTGAGTGCCCGGCAGGAGGTGACTGAAGTAGAAGCGTCTGTCTACCTTGCGCCCCGCCAGGCGCTGCAAGGAGCGCAGGAAGACCGGGTCTTGCCTTCTGTAACAGCGGTGCAGGTTTGCACGGGCTCAAAGGCCACGCACCGCCAGGGCCGGACGCCGGGCGGCGAGGTAGTACTCCAGCTTTCCAGAACCGAAGAAGGGAGAGTGAAGCACTGCGACGTCCCCCAGCAGCCGGTCCACGTGTGGAGGATTTACTTCCCATGTACTTCAGTTGCATGCCAGCCTTTTAGTCTCTGCGGGGGACTATCATGCCTTCCGCGGCCCGATCAGTTCGCGTCGCGGAGCGCTTGGTGCACCTTAAGCTCCTTACTCGTGGTCTTTTCTTCCAACAAAACATAGGTTAGGTAACGTAACAAGCATATTATTATTCTATTATATGGTCCCATGGTGGTAGCCAAGTTGAGTTGAGGCAGATGGCGCAATTTGATTTCCAGTCGAAGCAAAGCGGCGACTTCTGACCACAGGGTCAGCACTTGCCTTTGCGAACTTCATCCTTAGAAGGTCAAGGAACTTGTTGGTCTTTTTGAGAGGAACTCGGAACCCTTCCAAGAAGGAAAGCGTGCCACTGGGCAACTAGTTCAACTAGGCATCAAACTTCAGGCGCAAGGTGCTGGGCAGGTCATCCCGAAAGCCCAACTGCTTTGGTGTTGTAGGCGTTGACCTTTCTTGCCACCTCCAGCTTGTTGGGGCTCTCTCTGTAGAGGGGGTTTTCCAAATGGCTTATATTCTACCTGAGAGGCTTCTAGCACTCGTCCGTCCAGCATTTGACCTCGTCCTGCGAAGGATTCGAAGTCTAAAACGCTGCGTGCAGGCGTGTGGCTGCAAAATAATGACCCCTAGATATGCTTGCAATTTGGCTCCAGGTTGCATTTCAAGCGAGCCAACCTTTGCAGGGCTAAGAAAAAACAAAAAAAAAGAAAAAAAGGGGTCCAAAAAAAAGGGTCCCCGAAAAAAAGGGAAAAGGGGTTTCCTTTGGCAAAGCTTGACATCGCTTGAAATGCAACCTGGAGCCAAATTGCAGCGCATATCTAGGGGTCTCTATTTTGCAGCCACACGCCTGCACGCAGCGTTTTAGACTTCGAATCCTCGCAGGACGAGGTCAAATGCTGGACGGACGAGTGTCAGAAGCCTCTCAGGTACAATATAAGCCATTTGGAAAACGCCCTCTACAGAGAGAGGTTCGCCTGAGACCTGCTGAAAAGTCTTCTAAAGAGAGGGATACAGGGAATGCAGGGATTCCCTGCAGAAACCCTGCATTGAAATTCCCCCAGGATTTCTTGCTATACGCTTTATTTCTTCAACACAAGTGCCAACACAATTGCCACTCGTGTTCACATTTCTGCCGCGCCAAGCCGCTATACGCGCTTAATTTCAACATGTCGGAGTACATGTCGGATGAACATGTTCTTGGCACTCCGGGTGCGCCACCCTGCCGAGCCCGCGCCAAGGGATTCTTCCCAGGAAAAAAAAATTCCAGTCCTTCCGTGGGGGGAGGACTGCAGCACGCTTTTTTTTGCCAATGGCTGCAAGGCCGCGCCTGCCCGGCATTGAAGCCGCGCCAAGCCGCTGAACCCCCACTCTCCCCCGGCTCGTTGCTATATGTGCTATATGTGCTATATCTTACACGCCAAGCCGCTGAACCCCCACTCTCCCCCGCGTCCTTGCTATATGTGCTATTTGTGCTATATCTTACACGCCAAGCCGCTGAACCCCCACTCTCCCCCGCGTCCTTGCTATATGTGCTATATGTGCTATATGTTCTGTACGCGCGAAATCTGTACTATATATGCTATATAGGGGCCATATAGCACATATAGTACATATAGCATGGACCCGGGGGGAGTGGATGTTCAGTGGCTTGCCTTGTGAGATATAGCACATATAGCACATATAGCATGGATAGCAAGGAAGCGGGGAAGAGTGGATGATGTTCGGGCGGGTTGCGCGCCCTGGTAGCCTTGCTTGCCGCGACTGCCTGCGTATGACGCTGCTCTGGCATGGCATGGTTTTTTGCATGGTTTTTGCATGCGTGGTACAGTTGTTTTTTGCATGGTTTTTGGCTTTGACATGGTTTTGCAAGACATGATTTTGACATGGTTTTGAAATGGTTTTTGCATGACATGATTTTGCACGTTTTTTTTCGCACGGTTTTTTGCATGTCATGTGGCTCAACCCCGTGCCCCCTCCCCCTGTTTTTTTTTCCTGTCAGGCCGTACGTAGGTTCATCCTGGACATCCTGAACTTCTGCGAGGCAGGGCAGTGCCGAGCGGGCACTTAACTAACAGTGCCGAGCGGGCACTTAACTAGAAGTGCCGAGCGGGCACGTGCCGAGCAGGCACAGGCAGTGCCGAGCGGGCACGTGCCGAGCTGGCACCCCAGTGCCGTGCGGGCACTTGTAGGAACCCCGGTGCCGAGCTGGCACCGTGGAGGGGGTGCAGTGCCGAGCGGGCACTAGTAACTAAATGTGCCGAGCGGGCACGTGCCGAGCGGGCACCTAGTTAAGCGCGCCGAGCAGGCACAGTGCCGAGCGGGCACGTGCCGAGCTGGCACCGTAGGAGCGCCAAGGCGCAGCTTTGAAGCAGGCGTCCACTGTGGTTGAGTGGCTCGCCCAAGGGTTCGCCCAAGTTACTGGCTCGCCCACGGGGTCCTTAGTATGGCTCGCCCAACGGCTTAGTACTGGCTCGCCCAACTGGCTCGCCCAACTGGCTCGCCCAACTGGCTCGCCCAACTGGCTCGCCCAACCCCTTAGTACTGGCTCGCCCAACTGGCTCGCCCAACGGGTTGGTCAGCGGCAAGTCCGAGTGCGCAAGACGTTCGTGTCGTCATTGAAGAGTTCGATACAGTGGAGGACAAAATCCTCCACTGCCAATTCCCGGCCGCCCCTGCCCGGCATCGGAGCCCCGAGCCCAAGGTCGGGATTCTTCCCAGGAAAAAAAATATCGAAACTGTCGTCTAACCCGACAGTTTCGGCGAACCTGCCCGGCATTGAAGCCTCCACCCCGGCCGCACCACCTGCCCGGCATAGCCTCCAGCCTGCACACCGAGGTCGGAATTCCGACTTCGCTCTGCACCGAGGTCGGGATTCCGACTTCGGTATTTTGCCGAAAAACCCATCACCGGGCCAGCGCCGGAGGTCCGTCAGCGAGGCTGTCCTCGCCGTACCGCTGACAGAGTGTTTTTTTCACCATTCACACGCCCAGCCGTCAATCCTGGCGTGGGCACAGGATTGCCCCACTCAATCCTGGCGAGGGCACAGGATTGCCACACTCAATCCTGGCGTGGGCACAGGATTGCCCCGGTGTTTCCCAGAAAACGCTGGAAGCGCAGTGCTGTACAGCACTACGCCCCCAGACTCGCCGCCCGGATTGCGCGGAACAAACACCGGCAGTGCGTCGGTACACAGCGATGCACTCCCGGACTCGCCGCCCGGCTTGCCCGGAAAACACTGGAAGCGTACTGCTGTGTAGCAGTGCGCAGCCGGACTCGCCGCCCGGCTTGCCGGCTTCAAATTTGACAAGTAACGCAAAGGAACGTCATGGGAAAGATCAAGCTTTTCCCCACGCCAGAATACAGCAGCAAGCAGCCCTCGGACCCCGTGGTGCCCCTGGTCCCGCGCACGGGCATTTTCCTCGGACCTTCCAAATCGGGCAAAACCGTGACTCTGATCAGCCTGATTCTGGAGCAGTATCGCGGCGTGTTTGAGAGAATCTACATATTTAGCCCGTCCATCGACATCGACGACGGCTGGAGTCCCGTCAAGAAGTACATCGAGCAGGACCTGGGAGTGAATACTGAACGGGAGCAAGCGTACTGGGACGAGTGGGACGAGGCGGCGCTGCGCCGCATCATCCAGCAGCAGCGCAAGATCACCGAGGCGTCCTAGAAGTTGGAGATGAAGAAACTGTATCAGGTCCTGATAATCTGTGACGACCTAGCGGACGTGCCTCAGCTCCACAGACCCAACGGCGCCCTGGACACTCTCTTCATCAGGGGCCGGCACCTCCAAATCAGCCCCTGGGTCAGCTCACAGAAGCTGAGACTAATCAGTGCGGCCGTGCGGGTCAACCAGCAATTCCTCTGCTGCTGGAGGCTGCGCAACCAGCACGAGCTGGAGGCCGTCATCGAAGAGCTCAGCGCCCTGCTGCCGAAGGACAAGCTGCACAGGATCCACGAGCAGGCGACCCGAGAGCCCTACAGCTTCCTCTTCGTCTACTACCTCAAGCCAAAGAATGAGATGTTCTACTTGCGCTTCGAAGAGCGCTTCGCTCTGGAAAAAGAAGCCGATGGGAGCGGCGCTCAGCTTCCTGGGCCAGAAGCTGTTCGCTAGTTCCACACTGATCAACGCGAAGTGCGAGAATATCTCCTGCTGCACCTCCGTCGCAGCCGTCCACCCGCCCATCATCCGTCGGACGGGCGGGTTCCTAAAGAAAAGGATGACGACGATCTACGTGGACAGCCGCAAGAGGGTGGCCGGCTCGGACAGCGACTTCGAGGTGGACCTGGGGGAGTCCCTGCACTTGCAGAGCGACGCCCGGCTTGCCGTCTACAAGATCCGCCTGGCCGACAGTTTCCTCTCGACGGACCGGGGCCGCTACCTCTACTGGGTTGACGCCGCGCTGGGCACGCTGAACTGGGCGTTGGTGCCCGAGGGCGCGTACACTGGCGCACGGCTGGCCGCCTGGATCAGCTCCAACTTTGCCACCGCCACCTACGGCGAGACCACAAACAGCCTGAGCGTTGCCTACGACGGCAACCGGCTGATCCTGAACGTCCTGGAGCTGCGCCAGCAATTCCCAGATGCCGCGGACTACCCCTCCGCGCCGGCCGCCTCTCCGACCAAGCCCTTCAGCATCGACCACATGCTCGGCCCGAGCTTCGTCTCAGGCGGGCAGCAGGTCTTCGAATTTCTCAAAATGATGGCGCACAACCCCAGCTGGCCAACGCCAGCAGAGTGCTGGGCAACCTGGGCGACGACATCCTCTCCAAGATCACGCTGAAGAGCGGAGTGGGCACCATTGTGGAGACGGGCTCAGACGACGGGCACTTCATGGCACTCAGGGGCCCGGTTACCCTGAGGCACATGCGCTTCCGCCTGACAGACCTGGACTGCAACGTCGTCCGGCTTCGCGGGTCGTCTTTGTCCTTCGTGTTGTATCTTGACCACGTATAATAAATGGAGCCAACCGAACACGAGGCGGCGCAAGAGGCGCAAGAGGCGCAAGAGGCGCAAGAGGTGCAGGACGCTGCGCCGCACGCTGCGCCGGACGCTGCGCCGGAACCGAAACGGCGGGGCAGGCCCCCTGGGAGCAAGAACAAACCGAAGCAGGACGTGCCTACTGAGCCGGCTGCCCCAAAGCGCAAGCCAAAGCCGGTTGAGACGCCGGCGGAGGCTCCGGTTGAGACGCCGGCTGCACCGGAGCCGCCTCAGCTCACAAGAGAGCAGCAGCGCGCCCTGCGCATGCTGGAGAGGCAGTCCGCTTATGACCGGCTGACCACAGGCGCTAGCGTACTGGTATAAAAGCAAGATGATGTCGATTGAACCTCGCAACGAGCCGCGGATGCTCCGGTGGTTTCGCAAAACGTACCCCAGCTACAACTTGCAGCCGCTGCTGCTGAAGCGCTACCGAGAACTGGAGGAGGCGCGGGCCTTCAACAACTGGCTGGGCGAGCGCAGGCAGGCGCAGGAGGGGCAGCGGCACCTGGACGACGTGAGCCGGCTGACGGAGGCCGTGCACCGCCAGGTACCCCCAGCTGCGCTACGCGCGGGCCGAGCGCCGGGGCGTGGAACGGGCGGCGGACGAAGTTGCGCAACAGTAAATGAAGGCACTTCGGGCGCACGGCTTCAACCAGCGCCCGCGCTTTGAGCAGGTGGTGGGCTACCTGGAGCGGAACGAGCCGCTGCCCCTGGACCAGCCGGACCGCAAGGCCACCTCGTTCATCACGAGCCACTTCTACCTGGACGATTTTGTGCAGTCCAGCGAGGACCCCAACCCTCGGCCCCTGCAGCACACGCCTCTGCAGGCAATTCCCGAGGAAGGCTTCCGCACTCCCGCAGAGGCCACGGACGAGGACTTGGCGCGGATGCGCCAAGGAGGAAACCGCTTCGGCGAGGACGACCTTGCAGGAGACCCGGAGGCCGACGCGCTGGCCAGCAACGGTCAGGGGCCGCCCTCCATCACGGGCCGTTTGCGCAGCGCTGCAGACGGCGCACAGGCGGCAGCGGACCTCGTAGGCGCAGGGGCCGTGGGGCTCGCAGCCGCGCAGGCCTTCCGCTCTCAGCTGCCCCAGGACGCAGCTGAGTACGTGCGCCTAAATGTGTTGCCCCGTCCGGGCCCGGCGCAGCCGCCTCCGCAGATCATAGGCCGGCCCAGTGACGTGGAGCGCCTCCTGGACGAGGCGGGGCAGCGCACGCAGGAGGTGGAGCGCGGCGCGGAGGCAATAGAGGAGACGGCGGCCGTGGCAGCGGAGGAGGGCGAGGTGGCCGTTGCCGCCGAGGGCGTGGGCGGAGCCTTCGGGTACCTGGGGGGCCTGGCGGAAGGAGCAGCAGCACTGGCGCCCACGGCGGGCGAGGTTGCTGGAACGTTGGCTGGCGCGGCGGGAGTCGGCGCGGCGGCAACGGCGGGGTTGGCCGTTGGCATTGCGGGCGGCGCAGCCTACGGCCTGGCCCGCGGCACGGGCTGGGTCCTCGAGAACACGCTCTTCCGGCCACAGCAGGGCAGCGAGGACGCCGCCGTGCAGGACGTGCGGTCCGCCAACAACATGAACGACGCCACTCAGCCCCAGCACTTCTCGCTGCGCTCAGGCAGCAGCACTTCAGGCAGCCCCGCAAGCAGCCGCGCCTCCTCGCAGTCCGGCTTCCGTGTGCAGGCGCAGTCCAACAACACGCCGCGCCCCTTCTCCTGGGGCCTGAACCCCGTGGCCCTGCCCCAGTCCCAGCCGAGCTCGCGGGCGAGCTCCAGTTCACGCCGGAGCCTGCCTCCGCCCAGCTTTGACCAGCTGGCGCGTGACATTGAGGCTGCTTAAAAAAAATAAAACCCTCCTCCTCGGGGAGAGTTTATTTTTGCACGGTTTTGCGCTGCAAAATGCTATTCTTCTAGGCCGTATATCAATATACGCCCTGTAAGAATAGCTTTTGCACGGTTTTGGGCTACAAAATGCTATTAGTCTAGTCCGTATATCAATATACGCCCTGGACTAATAGCTTTTTGCGCGGTTTTGCGCCACAAAACGCTATTCTTCCAGGGCCTACATCCATGTAGGCACTAGAAGAATAGTTTTTCCTTCGCCGTACGAGTCAAAATGCGTGTATATAAACAAGCATGGAGGTAGTCACCGCCGGAGCCCAGGATGAGCTGATGCAGAGCCTGGACTACAAGCTGAAAACAAGCATCACCAGCTACGTGACGGCGCGGCATGACGTGCAGTACTTCCCCAGCTCGCTGAGCTCCTTCTCCCCCACAACCTCGTGGGTCTGCCGCATCCCGCTGACCAGCGGCACGTCCTTCATCGACCCCGAGTCCATCAAGATCGCCTTCCGCGTCAGGAACACGGACGGCACCAACCCGCTGGCCCCGGCCACGCCCAACCCCGCCTGCTTCGTCCAGCGCGTCCAGGTCTTCGCCAACGGCCAGCGCTGCGACGACATCAACTACTACGGGCGCACCGTGGCCGTGCACGACCTGCTGAAGGGCAGAGAGTACAACCGCAACAAGGCCATGGAGGGTTTCGACGAAGTGAACGACCCGCGCATCGCACGCGCGGTGCACCAGGGCGGCTACGCGGACGTGCTGCTGCGCCCCACCATGGTGGGCATCCTGCGCTGCGGGAAGATGCTGCCGCCGCAGCTGAACCTGGTGATAGAATTTGAGTTTGCGGACGCCACCACTGCGCTGTGGTCCGAGAACGCCGGGGCGCACCCGGCGGGGGCCACGCTGAGCACCGACTTGGAGATCCAGAACGTCCGAGTTCTGGCCTCCCAGGTCGTCCTGGACTCTGCGCTGGTGGAGTCCTTCAACCGCGTGCTCCTCTCAGGAAGGTCCCTGGTGTTCAGCTGCCCCACGGTGCACACGCAGCAGTCCAGCGTCCCGAACGGCGTGGCGGAGCACAACGTCACCGTGGCGCGCGCCTTCACGAAACTCATGGGCGCGTTCGTGACCTTCTGGGACAACGACGCTGGCTCTAAGATCCACCTGCTGGCCAACCCGGGGCAGGACGTGGCCCCCATCGGCGCGGCCAGGCAGGAGGACAGCCTCCTGGAGTCTCAGATGCAGCTGGGCAGCCTGCAGTACCCTCACAACCCCATGAAGGGAGCCTCGGAGCACTTCCACTTCCTCTCCGTCCTCGCGGGCACCTACGACGACACGGTGCGCAACATCGACATCGGCCGCGTGGGCTACCTGCGCCACAGCTTCATTGCCGGCTTTCCCACCGAGCGCGTGCCCAAGATGCCGCTGAGTGGCGTCAGCACCCGCTCGGGCGACCTTGCCCGGTTCACCTTCAAGGGCCTGGACGGCACGATGACGGACCTGTTCATTCATTTGGTGGCCTACCAGCTGGTGACGCTCTCCGGCACGGGCGTCTCTGTGCTTGACTAAGGCCCGGTGTCATGTTTCATCATTTTTGATGAATCGTGACACCGCTTTTGAGTGCGCCCAAAAACGAGAAAAAAGGCGGGGGGTGTCACGTTTCGTCATTTTTGACGAATCGTGACACCGCCCAAAAAACATGCAAAAACATGGAAAAAAAGGACTGTTCCAGGCTCGTCGGATTAGACGAAGCCTCAACGGTCTAATCCGGAATGCTCAGCCGCTCCGCAAGCTCCTCCGTGGCCGCGCGCGCAATCTCCTCGCACAGCGCAGCAGGGACGCTGTAGAGCAGCTCGCGTGATTGGCTGACCCTCTCGTACTGCCCCTCCATCAGCCGCGGCCCCCGCTGAGCGGCCCGGAGGTGCCTGCCGTCCTGCCACGCCTCGCAGCGGCTGCCGGGCTTGCACAGGCCTCGCCTCGGCCTCCAGCGCATGTTGGTCCACAGCCGCGTCTGCTTCCTGTACGGAGTTCCGTACTTGCAGTAGGTCACGTCCACCCAGGGCAATGAACGGCCGGGTCTTCAGCAGCCCGGTGGCCGGGTTCTCCACAATCCACATGAGCGGGTCAAAGTGCGCAATGATCTCAAGGGCGCTGAGCACCAGCGCGTCTCCCTCCAAGGAGCCGCCGCGGGCGCGTCGTCAGCGCGCGGCTGTATTCCGCGCAGACCGGGCTGGCCCAGACCATGTCGAAGTGCCCCGGCGGAAACGTCGTGTAGTCCCAGCTCCGGATGTCGCAGAGGATGGTGGGCTCAAATTTCGACACGATGTCCAGGGAGACGACCTCCCAGCCCGCCGCCTCGAAGGCCCTGCCCACCGACTTGGTGCCGCAGAAAAGCTCCAGGAGTCTCGGCATTTTTAAAGAGCAAGATCACCGCCACTGCGACGAAGAAAACTCGCACGTTCATCGGACCGGACTTTTTTCCTACGGATAAAAAAAGCCGAGCAATGAAGCTTGCACACGGGCTGGACGTTCAGACCAATGCCAAGGGGGGGAAGTTCATGTCCATAGAGGACTCCCATCAGGGCGCGCTGGTGTGCAAGGCGGACGTGGAGGTGCTGTGGGAGCCCGGCAACTTCCAGGACGACGGGGCCAAGAGGGTGGGCGTGTGCTTTGCGAGCAACACCGACCTGGGGGCGTGGACGGATGGGGTGGAGCAGGCCGTCGTCGACGACATGATCATCTTCCAGAAGCCCTTTCCGGGGGTCACCCGCGCCGAGCTTGAGAGCCAGCTGCAGCGCGCCGTCAAGGTGAGCGCCAAGGGCAAGCACGTGAAGTGCAAGATGGACTTGGAGCGCTGCCTCTTCTGGGACTCCGCCGGCAACCGCGTGCCGCGCCCCGCGGAGTTCGCGCGCCGCAGGGGCCGCGCGCTTGTGGAGGCCCGGCACGGGTGGCTGATGGGCAGGCAGTGGGGCGTGCTCTTCGAGGTGCGCCACCTCATGCTGGAGCCTCTGGAGGCGCCGTGCTGCCCGTTCTAGGCCTCCAGCAGCTCGGAGCTCGTGGCCCGCGAGGCGCCCACGTACAGGTGGCGCAGCGTGAGGTGGCAGGACTCCAGGTCCAGGCGGACGCGGTTGTGGAGGGTGAGCCCCTGGCAGCTGGCGTAGGTAACTGCGTGGCTCGGCCGGGTGGCCCGCAGCAGCTCCTGGTTCTTCAGCCGCATGCCGTTGTCCAGCCTCACTCCGTCCGGCTCCACTTCCGCCACGGCCACAAAGACGCCCTTGGGAATTTTTCCGCCGGCCCCGATGAGGCGCAGCCCCGGCCAAACCCTCATGCTCTGCGGGCTGTTTTGGGTTGTTGCAGTTTGGCAATTTGCGGTTGTTACTGTCTCGTAGCAACCCAAATCTATGTGGATGACCTGCGTCTCCAGCTCTAGGAGCTTTGAGCCCTCCGGCGCCAGGGCCCGGTTCGCCGCTGCGTTCACGGCCATGCGCTTGCTGTGGCTGATGACCAGCGTGGTGTCCGGCCACCGGGCTTGGAGGGGTAGAGCTCCTTCAGCCTCGCCTTGGCCTGCTCCAGCGTGGGGCACGCCTCCTCGCCGACCCGCAGCCACTTCACGAAGTCGAAGATGCCGGGGTCGGAGCGCATGTTCTCCGTGAGCTCGTGCCTGTGCCCGCCGGCCAGGTCGCGGATGAGCTGGCTGTGCTCCAACGGCGCGCTGATGGGCCGCCGGCCCAGGAGTCCAGCACGGCCGGCAGCTGCCGGAAGTCTCCCAGCAGCAGGAACTTCACGTCGGCGTTCAGCCCCACGCAGGCCAGGTCCGCCCAGAGCGCCATGTCCAGCTGCGTGATCTCCTCCACCACCAGCCAGTCCAGCTTTTGCGCGCTGCCCCCGCGCACGTACCTGCGCACCCAGTGGTCGGCCGTCTGCGCCCCCAGCCCCAGGTTCTGCGCGGAGCAGTGCGTCTTTGAGACGAGGTGCACCGCCTCGCCCTGCTCTCGCAGCCTCGCAACAATGGTGCGGGCCAGGTGCGTCTTTCCGGTGCCCGGCAGGCCCGTGAGCAGCAGGGAGTTGCCCGCCAGGCAGTGGTTCACGGGGTCGTCCACTCCGTTCCACCTCCGCTGTTTGGGGCGCTCCGCCTCCATGCGCGGCGCCCTGCCGCCCAGCAAAGGCTTCGTCTCTTCCACGCGGTAGACGGGCGTGCCGTCCGGGTGGCGCAGCGCCTCCAGCGCCCGCAGCCTCTCCGCGAAGCGCTTCGGCAGCCGCTGCGTCAGCAGGCAGTCCGTCTTCACCTGCGCCAGGTACCGCGGCGGCGCGTCCAGGATGCGCCGGGCCTTGGCCACCATGCAGTGCTCGAAGCCCAGGACCGCGTCGTGGATGGGGCGGTAGGTGCCGTTGCTCAGCAGCCTCCTGGCGTAGACGAAGTCCCACACCATGCCCCCCTCGTAGGCGAAGGCCTGAGAGAAGTCCGCGCCCGCGCCGTCCAGCTCGCTGCTGCTGCTGCGCACGCTGTAGACCACCTCCGTGCTGCGCGCCCACAGGCCTATCATCGCGTTCACGCTGAGCTTGGCCATGTGCTCCTCGCCTTCGGGCCACGCGGCGTCCATGCGCTCCAGCGCGCGCCGCAGCGTCGCCGCGTCCACGTGGCTCCGCGCGGAGATGCCCAACACGATGTGGTCCAGCGGCAGACGCCCAGGTCCAGCATCGCGGCCAGCGAAACCTTCGGGTACCAGCCGGGCCCCACGTACGGCAACAGGTTCAGGCAGGACTGCCTCGCGTCGCAGCAGCCCTCCACAAAGCCCAGGTCCGGCAGCACGCCGTCCACGGGCTCAACGCCGTCCGCCGGGCACAGGATGGGCAGGGGGAAGGGGGCGTTGGCCAGCCCGTTGCGCCTGCAGCGCACCACGTCCACGCCGACGTACGTGCTGTCCTTTGCGCACGTCTGCGCCTCAAAAACCAGAGGAGGCAGCTTGGGGCTCCGGACGTACTCCATGACGCCGGGGGCCACGCGGCTCTCCAAACTCGTGGGCTGCGCGCTCTCCCTCAGCGTCTTCTCGCTGTGGCAGTCGCCGCACAGCGCCTGCAAAGTTTGCACGCTGCCCGCAAAGGCCTGCCTCACCGGCACCACGTGGTCCAGCTCGCAGGCGCCGGCCGTCAGCCCGCATCCACACAGCGCGCACTTGCCGCCCTGCGCGGCCAAGGTCTGCTGCCTCTCCGCCGCGCCGGGCACCTCCCGTTTCGCCTTGAGCAGCTTCAGAAAAATCTCGTGCGCCAAGCCGGCCAGGCGCTGGCCCCTGTACTCCTGGTTGAGCGCCTCGCACCACCTCCGCAGCACCTCGTGCTCCTCCGGCAGCTCTCGGATCCTGGTGCCCCGCCTCAGCCTCAGCCCGCAGTACTGCGCCGGGCTGCTGATGGCCACCTTGGGGCTCTCGCCGGCGGCCATGAGCTGCCGCCGCGCCTCCCGCAGGTCCTCGCACCAGAACAGCCCCGGCTGCACGTCCGCGGCGTCGAAGCGCCTCCACTCTTGGATGGGCGGCAGGGTCTGCCTCGCCTCGCCCCGGTAGAGCACGCGCGCCGCCTGCCTCTCCAGCACCCTCTTCACGGCCCTGTACATGTAGCAGTGCCCGTCGAAGGCCAAGAAGCACACGGTGCGGTGCTCCTTCAGCGCCGGGTCGTAGCTGTCCACCAGGTCGCCCTGCGAGCTCAGCACGCGCATGGGGGCGTTGCGCCACACGCAGAACTCTCGCACCTCCTCGGCGGAGATGCCGAGGCGCCTCCAGTCGTGGCGCAGCATGGCGTCGAAGTCCGCGCACACCTCCTCCACGCTCAGATGCAGCAGCTCGGCCAGCTGCCGGGGCACGCAGAGCGGCTTGTCCTCGAAGGCGCTCTGCAGCACGTCCTCCTCGCAGGGCAGCTGGAAGCTCACGCTCCTCAGGCCCCTCATGCGCTGGCGCAGGAGCGTCTCCACCTCGGTCCTGGAGTTCCTGTAGTGCGTGCTCTGGGTGCTGACCACCCAGTGCCCCTCGGGGTCGAGGAAGTAGGTCTCGTCCGAGAGCTGCAGGATGGGGCCGCCCGGGTCCAGCGAGGCCTCCACTTGTTGTTTCACCCGCTGCGCCACCTGCTCCTCCGTGAGGTGCGCCGGGTGCCTCGTGGCGCCGCCCAGCTCATTCACCGGCAGCCAGTCCCTGCGCTCGTAGCCCGCGCCGGCGTTCCGCCCGCTGCGCCGCCTGCCCGGATGATCACCGGCACGTGGACCAGGTACTCGTAGTACTTGTCGCGGAAGAAGCCCTTGCCCAGCTTGGTCAGCCGGTGCTCTCCGCCCTGCAGGGAGCGCACGAGCTTCTTCTGCCCGTTGCGCAGCAGGATGTAGTCGTTGGGCCCCTCGCGGATAAGGGGCTGGTTGTAGTCGAAGTCCCTGCTGGGGGGGCGCAGGCCCAGGTGGGAGTAGTAGTGCTGGCCCGCCCGGGTCAGCTGCCCGTCCGCGCGCGAGAGCAGCGCGTAGGCCCCCGGGCCGCGCCGCAGGTTCAGCACGACGGCACCATCCGCCCCCGTGCGAGCCCGGGCGCCGCCGTCCGCGGCCTTCGTGATCTGCTGTCGTTGTCTCGCCCAACTTGCCATTCTTTTTTTACGGGCCCAGTTTTTTTTTGGTTGGCGCATTCTCCCCGGTCTGTTTTTGTTTTGAGGCGAGCAGGAGGGCCAGTCAGCGTCCGGGTCTTTGCAGAGCACGCTCCTTTGCAGAGCACGCTTCTTTGCAGAGCACGCTCCTTTGCAGAGCACTCTCCTTTGCAGAGCACGCTCCTCTGCAGAGCACGCTTCTTTGCAGAGCACGCTTCTTTGCAGAGCACGCTCCTCTGCAGAGCACGCTTCTTTGCAGAGCACGCTTCTTTGCAGAGTGCTCTCCTCTGCAGAGCACGCTTCTTTGCAGAGTGCTCTCCTCTGCAGAGCACGCTCCTCTGCAGAGTGCTCTCCTCTGCAGAGCACGCTTCTTTGCAGAGTGCTCTCCTCTGCAGACATGCTTCCGGGCTGTGAAGGGGGAAGGGGGCGAGTCAGCTTTGGTGGTGGTGTTGTTGTCGGTTTTTGTTTTGGGGGGCGCAGGGGGCCAGTCAGCTTCCGGGCTGTGAAGGGGAAGGGGGGCCAGTCAGCTTTGGAGTGGTCTTGTTCTGCGGGGAATGGAGGCGAGTCAGCTTCCGGGGGCTGTGAAGGGGGGATGATGTGAGTCAGCTTTGGTGGTGGTGTTGTTGTCGGTTTTGGTTTTGGGGGGCGCAGGGGGCCAGTCAGCTTCCGGGCTGTGAAGGGGGAAGGGGGCCAGTCAGCTTTGGTGGTGGTGTTGTTGTCGGTTTTTGTTTTGGGGGGCGCAGGGGGCCAGTCAGCTTCCAGGCTGTGAAGGGGAAGGGGGGCCAGTCAGCTTTGGAGTTGTCTTGTTCTGCGGGGAATGGAGGCGAGTCAGCTTCCGGGGGCTGTGAAGGGGGGATGATGTGAGTCAGCTTTGGTGGTGGTGTTGTTGTCGGTTTTTGTTTTGGGGGGCGTAGGGGGCCAGTCAGCTTCCGGGCTGTGAAGGGGAAGGGGGGCCAGTCAGCTTTGGAGTTTGGTGGTGGTGTTGTTGTCGGTTTTTGTTTTGGGGGGCGCAGGGGGCCAGTCAGCTTCCGGGCTGTGAAGGGGGGTGAGTCAGCTTTGGAGTTTGGTGGTGGTGTTGTTGTCGGTTTTTTTTTCGGGGGGACGGGGGCCAGTCAGCTTCCGGGCTGTGAAGGGGGGATGATGTGAGTCAGCTTTGGAGTTTGGTGGTGGTGTTGTTGTCGGTTTTTGCTGGCGCAGGGGGCCAGTCAGCTTCCGGGCTGTGAAGGGGGGATGATGTGAGTCAGCTTTGGAGTTGTCTTGTTCTGCGGGGAATGGAGGCGAGTCAGCTTCCGGGGGCTGTGAAGGGGGGATGATGTGAGTCAGCTTTGGTGGTGGTGTCGTCGCCGTCGGGGGACGGAGGGGGCGAGTCAGCTTTGGTGTCGCCGTCGCCGTCGTCCTCGTCGTCCTCGTCTGTTTTTGTTTCGGGCGGGGGAGCGAGTCAGCTTTGGTGGTGGTGTCGTCGCCGTCGTCTGTTTTGGGCGGGCGGGGGAGCGAGTCAGCTTTGGTGGTGGTGTCGTCGCCGTCGTCCTCGTCGTCCTCGTCTGTTTTTGTTTCGGGCGGGCGGGGGAGCGAGTCAGCTTTGGTGGTGGTGTCGTCGCCGTCGTCTGTTTCGGGGGACGGTGGCGATGTGGAGTTGGGTGTGAAACTGTTCGTCGCCGTCGTCACCGTCTGTTTTGTTTCGGGGGACGGTGGCGATTTGGAGTTGGGTGTGTTCGTCGTCGCCGTCACCGTCTGTTTTTGTTTTGGGCGGGCAGGGGAGCGTGTCAGCTTTGGTGGTGGTGTCGTCGCCGTCGTCCTCGTCGTCCTCGTCTGTTTTTGTTTTGGGCGGGCGGGGGAGCGAGTCAGCTTTGGTGGTGGTGTCGTCGCCGTCGTCCTCGTCGTCCTCGTCTGTTTTTGTTTCGGGCGGGCGGGGGAGCAGCTTTGGCGGTGGTGTCGTCGCCGTCGTCTGTTTTTGTTTCGGGGGACGGTGGCGATTTGGAGTTGGGTGTGAAACTGTTCGTCGCCGTCTGTTTTTGTTTTGGGCGGGCGGGGGAGCGAGTCAGCTTTGGTGCCGTCGCCGTCGTCCTCGTCGTCCTCGTCTGTTTTTGTTTTGGGCGGGCAGGGGAGCGAGTCAGCTTTGGGGGTGGTGTCGTCGCCGTCTGTTTTTGTTTCGGGGGGACGGTGGTGATTTGGTGGTGGTGTCGCTGTCGCCGTCGTCCTCGTCGTCCTCGTCTGTTTTTGTTTTGGGCGGGCAGGGAGCGAGTCAGCTTTGGTGGTGGTGTCGTCGTCGTGTGTTTTTGTTTCGGGGGACGGTGGCGAGGAGTTGGGTGTGTTCGTCGTCGCCGTCTGTTTTGGGCGGGCAGGGAGCGAGTCAGCTTTGGTGGTGGTGTCGTCGTCGTATGTTTTTGTTTCGGGGGACGGTGGCGAGGAGTTGGGTGTGTTCGTCGTCGCCGTCTGTTTTGGGCGGGCAGGGAGCGAGTCAGCTTTGGTGGTGGTGTCGTCGTCGTCTGTTTTTGTTTCGGGGGACGGTGGCGAGGAGGTGGGTGTGTTCGTCGTCGCCGTCTGTTTTGGGCGGGCAGGGGAGCGAGTCAGCTTTGGTGGTGGTGTCGTCGCCGTCGTCCTCGTCGTCCTCGTCTGTTTTTGTTCTGGGCGGGCGGGGGAGCGAGTCAGCTTTGGTGGGGGTGTCGTCGTCGTCTGTTTTTGTTTTGAGGTGAGCAGGAGGGCCAGTCAGCTTCCGGGGCTGTGAAGGGGGAAGGGGGGCCAGTCAGCTTTGGTGGTGGTGTTGTTGTCGGTTTTTGTTTTGGGGGGCGCAGGGGGCCAGTCAGCTTCCGGGCTGTGAAGGGGAAGGGGGCCAGTCAGCTTTGGTGGTGGTGTTGTTGTCGGTTTTTGTTTTGGGGGGCGCAGGGGGGCAGTCAGCTTCCGGCTGTGAAGGGGAAGGGGGGCCAGTCAGCTGAAGGGGGGCCAGTCAGCTTTGGAGTTGTCTTGTTCTGCGGGGAATGGAGGCGAGTCAGCTTTGGTGGTGGTGTTGTTGTCGGTTTTTGTTTTGGGGGGCGCTGGGGGCCAGTCAGCTTCCGGGCTGTGAAGGGGAACTTGGTACAGCCAGTACCCAGTTCAAGTTCCCAGGTCGTGGATGCCGCCCCATCGCCGTGGTGGGCACGCTCCTGGTCAGAGCACGCTTCTTTGCACAGCACGCTGCTTTGTAGAGTACGCTCCTCTGCAGAGCACGCTTCTTTGCACGCTTCTTTGCAGAGCACGCTTCTTTGCAGAGCACACTTCTTTGCAGTGCACGCTCCTCTGCAGACATGCTTCCGGGCTGTGAAGGGGGACGGGGGGCGAGTCAGCTTCCGGGGTGCGTTCAAACGGGTTATGCCCTCAGCGCGTTCTCGCGGCGGGCGGGCTGGTGCCTGTAGGGTTTAAACACAGCTGGCTTTCAACAGGTCACTATTTGCTCGCGAAGCTCTGCGATGGCGACTCTCTCCGAGTGCGAGGCGCACGAGCGCCTGCTCGCCGCCGTGAGCGCGGCTGACGCCCTGCCGAGAGGCACCGCCTTTGAGAAGGTGAAGGGGGCCAGGGATCGGCTCCGGGGGGAACTCTCCTCCGCGCAGCGCACGAACGGAGACGAGCTGGTGAAAAGCGCAAAGGCCTGCGCGCACCGGCTCAACCAACGCCTGAGCCGGATGTGGAAGCTCGGCATGGATGCGCCCGAGCCCGCTGCGCCCGAGCCCGCTGCGCCCGAGCCCGCTCCTGTTGAGGCGCCCATGAAAACTGAGCCCGCTCCGGCTGAGGCGCCCATCAAAAGTGAGCGCGCTCCTGCAGAGGCGCCCATCGCCACGACTCCTGCCATGAGCAGTGCGCCTCTTTGCGCCAACGAGAGTCTCTGGTGCACGCTGATCACAGAGAGAACGCCGGGCCATGTCGAGATGTGCAGATTATTTCGACGCTTGGGCAGCACCATAAGCAGTGCTGACCTACATGTTGAGGATCTCCGGGTCATCCGGCGGAAACTGTGGAAGTTTCGCAAATTCATGCGCTCCTATTATTGTGACAAAAAAATGTTCGGCCCTTGCCTTGTCAGCGCCTCGGTGAGCACAGGCAAATTTTGCCTCAATAATCTGTTCGCCGAAGTGCAAGCGAGGATCACCTCGCTTGCCCGCGGCAAGAAGCGCAAGGCAGACAAGCTGTAGCTTTTCAGGCGAACATGATTGGTTCGCCCAAACCGTTTCCGACCCCAAACCCAAGGAAAGCAGCCCCCCCTCCCAGTGGAGGTTCAGCGGCTTGCCTTGTGACATACAGCAAGGGGACGGAACGCAGGGATATTTGTGCGGTTTTGCGCCAAAAAGGAGCTGAGCAGGCTCCGGGAATTTCCCAGCCTGCGCACGCTCGATCAGGCAAACTTGAGTGTGATCAAAGTTATTTTCAAACTAGACGAGGGTCCTGGGCCTCGGAGGCCCCAGGAAGTCGTCCAGCTGCCTCACAGCCGCCGGCCTGCGTCTCGTCAGCCGGCCCGCCGCGTTGCCGCTGCCCTGCGGCGCCGGCAGCGCCAGCTTTAGCAGGGTCTCCCGGCCCTCCGTGCTGCGGACGGTCATGGAGTCCACGGCCCCCAGCCGCTGCACGTCGCCGTACTGAGGGTTGAAGCTCCTCGCCGCGTTCGTCGGCGCTCGGAAGGCGCCCGCGTCCTGCACCGCCTTCACGCGCCGGTCGGCGAGGTCCTTGTTGTGCTGGAACTTGTCGGCGTTGTCTTGCAGGACCCTGAACTCCGTGGCCGGCTGCCTCTCCACGTCCTCAGGCGCGCCGTGCACCGTCTCGTGGGGCCGCGCGTTGTAGGCCGAAGCGGTCTGCTGAAAGTGGTCGCTCCACTGCCCGCCCTTGCGCGCCACCCTCGTGGCCAGGTCCTTCTTCAGCGTCTGGATACCCCGGTCCACCACGGCGATGGCGTTGCGGTCCTCGGGCCGCTTCGTGCGGTGCACGGCATTTTCGGGCAGCTCCCTGTCCAGCGTGGCGAACTCGTTGCCCAGGTCCGTCGTCACCACGAAGTTTCCGTCGTCCCCCGTCAGCTCCTTTGCGGCGCGCTTGGTGGCGCGGCCCACCGTCTCGGCGTTCTTGTTCTGCAGAGGTTCCACGGCGGCCTCCCGGGTGAAGACGCCCATCACCACCAGGCCGTACTTCGTCTTCCCCCGCGTGTTCTGGCTGAAGTCGATGAGGTCGGCCTGCAGCCGGTCGTTCGGCCCCTCGGCGGCCGACTTGCCCAGCGCGCGCGGCCGGGGCGCCTGCAACTGCCGGCCCACGTCGGCCTTCAGCGCCTCGAAGGCCATGGCCTGCGTCACGTCGAGGTCGCGCTGCCTCGCAAGTCGGTACAGCTTCCGCGGGTCACGCACGTTGAAGTCGTCGGCCAGGTCCCTCAGCGCCTCCATTTAGCTTTGTTGCCCCAAAAAGGAGCTGATCAAGGTTCCTCTAGAACGAGGAGGCCTGAACACACCTACTTGTTGCCCCAAAAAGGGGCCTGTTCTAGCGTCCCTGGATGCAGGGAGGCCGGAACAGGCCTCAAAACCAGTTTTTTTTTTCTACTTGTTCTTCGGCCCCCGCTGGGCCTGCCAGGCTTCCACCTCGTCCAGCCGGGCCTGGAAGCCCTTGCACACCCCCCACAGCACGCTGGTGAGGTGAGAGTAGTCAAGGGTAACCATCTCCGTGCCGTCGCTCCACCGGGCGGTGCCCGTCAAATTCTTCCACTTCGTTCCTGCGAAGTCGTCCGAGGCGAAGCCCAGCCTCAGGTCCTCGTTCATGTCCGGGCGCTTGTACTGTTTGGCCTCCACGGAGTCAAAGAGCTGCTTGAGCTCCGCCACGTCGGCCTCGGCCATCTCCGTCTTCACCCGGCTGTCCGACAAATTCGTGAAGCTCGTGTTGCAGACCACGTTGCCCGTGTTGCCCGCGATTACCAGGCAGCCGGGGTTCCTCTGGTTCGTGGTCAGGGACAGCTGCGTCGAGAGGCTCTTGGTCTGCACCAGCGCCTCGTCGTTGATCATGATGAGCTCGCACTGGTGCGCCCCGCCGTCCCGCTCCAGGAAGACCCGCGCGCTCTGGTTGCCCAGCAGCCGCAGCTCCGGGCCGCTGTCGGGGGGCGCGCTGTTGTTGGACACTTGCAGCTTGCTCCAGCCCGCCCAGTTCTTCGTCAGGAAGAGATCGTCCGAGAAGTCGGAGGTGTTGGTCACGGTGAGCGTGTTGGAGGCGAAGAGCTGCGGAGCGGAGACCGTGCCCGAGCTTGTCACGTCGCCGCAGACCACGCTGCCCGTCGACACTCCGCCGCTCGTGGCCGTGAAGGTGCAGTCCAGGCTCTCGCAGTCCAGCGGGCCCGCGGAGGCCGCCCGGTGATCGTCAGCGTGGCGCCCGTGAGCGCGCCGGTGGCTGCGAAGCTCGCCGCGGTTGCTGCGCCCGAGGCCGTCAGCGTGCCCGTGGACACGTCGCCCACCGTGGTGAAGTTCCCGGCGTTGGCCGTGTTGTTGATGGTCAACGTGCTGCCGGTGATTCCTGTGGCGGAGCTCAGCAGGCCCACGCTGGCCGCGCCGGTGATGCTCAGCGAGCTGCCTGACACGGCCCCTGTGGACGACAGCGTGGCTCCGGCGACGGTGCCTGTGGCTGTGAGCGCAGCGCAGGAGACTGCGCCCGAGGCGTCCACGCCCGTGGTGAACACGTCGGTGCAGTTCACGTCGTTGCACAGCAGCTGGTCGCAGCCACGTTGCCCTGCGCGGTGAGCCCGTCCAGCGTGGCCGAGCCCGTGAGGGCCAGCGAGTCCGCCAGCAGGTCCGTTACTGAGACAGACTCTCCCTCGAAGGCGCTGGCCCTGATCTGCATGCTGTACAGGTCCAGCGTGCCCGCAGACTGCTGCACCAGCCCGGGGATAGAGCCGCCGAAGGCTCCGAAGTGCAGCTTCGCGATTCCGCCCGGCGGCACCGAGAAGTCCAGGCGCGCCGTGCTCCAAACGCCCTGCGAGGGCGTGCCGAGGAAGGTGCCGGTGACGCCCACGTAGTCGTTGTCGGCCGCGCTGACGTACATCACCAAGTTGGAGGCCGTGCCCAGCCGGTTCCGGCAGCCGAAGGAGTAGCGTCTCCCCGGCGTCAGCGTGTAGGTGCGCACGATGTTCCAGGCGAAGGCGCTCAGGGTCATGGCGTAGCCCTCCAGCTGGAAGCCTCCCACCGCGAAGCTGGCCGAGGCCACGGAGCTCTGGCTGGCTGTTGGAGCGCACCAGGAAATTTCCTAGCGTGGTGGGTTCCAGCAGCACCTCGCCCAGGGTGGCCAGCGTGACGTCGTCGGCCCCTCCGTCGAGGAACTCGTGCCTCAGCAGCAGCGCCGAAGCCGCCGTGTCCTCCTCCACCTCCGCCGTGTTGCCGGTCTCCAGGGTTGCGTCCAGGATCTGGAGGCCGTAGACGTCCACCGTTCCTGCCGTTTGGTTGGGCAGGCCCGGCGCCTGGAAGTGCGCCCCGAAGTGCAGCTTCGCCACTCCGTTGGGCGGCACGGTGAAGTACATCTTGGCCGTGCTCCAGGCGCCCTGGTCGCCCGCGAAGCTGCCGTACAAGGGGTCGTAGACGTTGACCACGAAGTTGGAGGCCGTGCCGAGCCGGTAGCGGCAGGCGAAGAGCAGCTCTCTGCCGGGTGTCAAGTTGTAGGTGCGCACGATGTTCCACGGGTTCGCCGCCAGGGTCAGGGTGTAGCCGTCCACGCTCACTCCCGCGGTGTGCGTGGCCAGGACCACGCTGCAGCCGCTGCTGGGGCGAACCGTCAGTTTGACAGCGAGACGTCCGTGGGGCCCAGGATCTGCTCTCCTATGGCGGCCACCACCTCGTCGGCCCCTCCGTCGTCCGGAAAGCGCACTGCTATTTGCAGCGCCGAGGCCGCCTCCGCGACTCCGAGCTTGGGTGGGGCCCCCCGGCCGGTGGGCTGTGGCTGTGGTTGGCCTTCGCCGGGGGCCCCGGGGGTTGCCGTTGGGGGGGGGCTGGCAAGGAGGCCGTCTACTTGCGCGATGGTGTAGTAGCTGAGCAGCGCGGCGGCGATGCTCGAGGCCGTCGCCGTGTCCTGGTCTGCGGCTGAGCGGTACGCCACCAGCGCCGAGGTGATTTGGTTGGTGGTGAACACGTCCTGAGCTGGCCCGGTGCGGTAGGCCAGCAGCGCGCCCGCGATGGCCGCCTGCGTCTGCGTGTCCTGCGCGCTCGCCGTGCGGTAATCTCCCAACAGCGCGTCCACTTGCGCCGCGGTGGAGTAGGCCAGCAGCGCGGCTGTGATGGCGCTGGTCGTCTCCGCGTCCTGCGCCGTTCCGGTTCGGTAGTCTCCCAACAGAGTGTCCACTTGTGAGGAGGTGTTGTAGGCCAGCAGCGCAGCCGCGAGGGCCGCGTCCGCCGCTGCGACGGAGTAGCAGTCTGCCGTGATGCTCAGCGTGTCGTCGCCGTTGGCCAGCGCAGCAGAGAGAGGAGCCACGAAATGCGGGTTGCGAACGACGTTGCTTCCGCGAAGGAGCTCCCAAGTTGTGAAGCCCGCCCAGGCCGGCGCGTTAACAACTCCGCCGCCGGAAAGCTGCAGGGCGGCGAGCTCCGCGAGGATTGCGTCGAGGGCGCTCTGGAGCGCGGTCTCGCTGCCAGAGAGCGCGGCGTTCGTGGCGTATGAGGCCAGCAGCGCCGCGTCGGCCTTGGAGGCCTGGAGCGCCGTGATGCTGGCGTCCCGGCTAGCAAGCTGCGCTGCGTCGAAGGCCTCGGTGGCGAGGCCCAGCAGCGCATTTGCTATCTTGGTGTCTACCTCCAGTGGCGTGTCCAGTCCGTCCACCGTGGAGAGCAGGGCGGCCAGCGCGCTGGCGTCCGCCTTGCCGGCGAGGGCGGCGTCCAGGGCTGCCGTGGTGACGGCGCCCAGGCGAGCGGTCGAGATCTTTGAGTCCACCTCGGAGGAAGTGTCCACGGCCGAGAGCAGGGCGTACGCGGTCAGTGCGCTGGCGTCCGCCTTGGAGGCCTGCAGCCCCGATATGGTGGCGTCTCTGCTCGCGAGCTCGGAGGCCAGCGCCGCGGCGGTGACGACGCCCAGGAGAGCGTTGGCCACCTTCGTATCCACCTCCAGCGGCGTGATCCTCGCCGCTATGTCCAGGGAGTGTTGGTCCACCACCGTCTTGAGACCGTAGTTGCCACCGTGGCCAGCGTGGCGTTGTTGGCCGAGGCGATGGAACCGTTCATGGCCGCCGTGGTGCTGTAGTTGGACAGCTTCAGGTCCACGCCGTCCGGGGTGCTCTTGGTGGCAACCACGCCCTCCAGCCCGTCGAAGGCCGATTGGTCTGCCTTGTTGGAGAGGCCCGTGGTCAGCGAGCTCTGCAGCGCGGCGATGCTGCTTCCGTGCGCGGCCACCTGCCCGTCCGTGGTGGCCAGGGCCGCCGCCGTGGCCAGGGGCGCAATCGCCGGCGCCAGCGCGCTGCTGTCCAGCTTTGACGCCAGCTCTGCGGTGACTCTGTCGTCCTGGGACTGGATGGCCGCCGCGTTGTTGCCGGCGGCTGCCGTGTTCACCGCCAGGTCCGTTACTTGAGCGTACGGCGTCAGAGCCAGGGCCAGCTGCCCTGCGGTGACGTGCGTGCCGTCAGTTACCTCTCCGGTGTCCAGGACCTCCGGGATGTTGCCGGTGACAGGTCCTTCAAACATGTTTTTCTTAGGAGTAGGTCTATAACGCAGGGGCGTTGTACTTTAGCGCGCCCTCACAGGCGTCGCCGCTTGGTGGTATGTCAAACATACCACCCCCTCTTCGGCACAAGTTTCCGCACGTGTCTCAGTCCGTGGACCTTGAGAGCGAGGCCGGCTCCGCGGCTTCGGTCTTGGAGCGAGGCCGGCTCCGCGGCTTCGGTCTTGGATCGAGGCCGGCTCCGCGGCTTCGGTCTTGGAGTGGCGTTCCGGCCGCTCGGAGAAGTTTCCTCGTGATTCGGAAGTGTGTTTGTTTTTGACACACATCACAGGCGTCACCGCTTGGTGTGTCAAACACACCAACCCCTCTTCGGCACAAGTTTCCGCACGTGTCACAGGGCCCGCACCAGGCCCGCACGTTGGCGTTTGTAACGGGGCATGTGTATGTTTTTTTCGTA